TCAGTCCAAAGGCCCCGTTGGCCATATATGTGTGAATGTGGGTCTAGATCTGTGTTGGCCGAGGGGACGATTAAAGGAGCAGACTTTAATTGGAGGAAAGCCACTTATTAAATATTTAGCATACCTTGAAAAATTTCTTAGGGCCTCCATAACATGGATGAGACTCAATGGTGCATTGCAACACATCAATAGCAGCATTCGCACGGGGGTGGTTGGCTTTGCCTTCTAGACGCCTTCTCACTCGGTGCCCTCTCTGGCTTGTGCTCAGGACAGGAGAGAAGCTCTGTGTGAGCCCTCAAGAGGCCGCTCCTAATGGACCTGAAGGGCCAGCGCGGTGCCTCTTCTGTCTGTGTGCTCTAGACACAAATGTTGGTATGTGGCTGTTGGGCGGTGGGGGGGCTGCTTGGTTCCCCTTAGTGAAGCAGGGGTTGGGTGGAAGTCACAGAAAACTGCAGTAATGAAAAGGTTAGCAGCTCCTTACCTCCCCATCCTCAACAAGGCATGACTGACACACACCTCCACACACACCTATTATAGCAGCTCCCCAGCAAACGGGGGTGGGGGGTGGGCTCCTTGTCCTTTTCTGCTAGGCAGTGACTTACGTGACAGAGCCTTGTGGCGCAGTGGTTAAACGGCTGTATTGCAGCCAAAACTGTGCTCACGACCTGGGGTGAGGTCAGTAAAATGAGTACCCAGCTTGCTGGGGGGCGGGGGGGCAATGTGTAGCCTGCATCATTAACTTGTAAACCGCCCAGAGAGTACTTGAAGCGCTATGGGGTGGTATAGAAGCAGCACGCTTTGCTTTAAAAGCAAAGGGCCCGCCAGGAAGCCTTTGAAGAGCATACTGACCTTCCACACGTTTGGCCAAGGCAGGAAAGCACCCCAGGGATGGGTCACATGGGCTGACGTTGGCTCCAGAATAAGGGCCCAAGGTTCCCCACCCACCCCGGCTGCAGAGCCTGCTCTTGGGAGTGGGTGGCCCCCCGGCTCCTGAGGAGGAAAGGGCTGGCTGGGAGGCTGCGCGGAGAGAAGGCAAGCAGGCTCGGCTCGGTTGGGTAGGAGAAGCAAGGGAGCTCTGCGGAGGAAGGGCAGCTGTGGCGGAGGGCTCTGGTGCTGGCCCTGGGCCTGGTCAGCTCCAGAGGGCGCGTGGCTTCTGTGGCCTGCTCAACTCTTGTTCTCTTTGCAGTGGACGGCTCTTCCTTGCAGGCAGCGCTGTTCTCGGAGCAGCTGGGCCAGAGACCACCACCTCTGCCAGATGGGAATGGATGCTGCCGAGGAGGGGCCTGGAGCCAGACAGGATGCGGTGGCCGTCCTCCGGCAGGAGGGTAAGGAATGAGGAGCAAACGCCAGGCGAGATTCCCAGGCCAGCACTACAAAATGACTCTGTTCTCACACGAGGGGTAGTTCCCTATTTAGCAATGCCCGCAGCTGACCTCTCCCTCTCTCCCCCGCCCCAAGAACAGTTTTGTAGAAACAGGCAGTTCAGATTAATAAGACGTTGGGTCTGATTTCACCAAGGGGGAAAAAGGGCCGGTAAGCAGCAGGATACAAAAGGGCAGGAAACATTTCAACCCTTGACCGTAGTATATGAGAACCCACTGGGGTCATTGAGTGAAGCTGAATACTGTGGGATTTGGGACAGAGAGAAAGCAGCCCTTTCTTCACACTGTGCATATTTGGCCTGCAGAACTCTTTGCTACAGGATGTAGAGGTTGCTGCTAGGTGGGACAGCTTTCTCTCCTCACTCCCAGATCAGAAGCACTTTGCTCTCTGCTTCTCAGTTACTGGAGAACGGGTGACATATTGGAGGATCTCGTTGCCCTCATGTTCTGAAAGGCTCAGGTTGGCTACTATGTGAACAGCCCACACTGGGTGGAGAGGCCTTTGGTCTGGATCCAGCACAGTTCCTACATTTTATGTCATGTAACCCTGCCTTCATTTTTTTCCCCAGAGACGCTCACCCAGGCCGAGCTGAGCTGGTTCCCTTGCTCTGTTACAGCTGCCGGTTGACCGTCAAAGACATGGTAAGGAGATGAGGGGGAGGAAGGGTGGGCTGGAGGGGCTGCCGGCAACCTTCGGGCCCCCAGGGGCAGGGCTTTCAAAGCAGGGAGGAATTTGCCTCTTCTTCACCCTGCCTGGTCTGAAGATGCTTTTCCCGGCCAAATTTGCCTCCTCCTGTGGGACCAGACGTCTAGCCAGGCTGCCGTTGCAATGGGGTGCATTGTCAGCCAGTTAGGTGGTGGGGCTTGCCTTCCAAAAAAGCAGCTTTTCTAAGTTCAAGTGTAGCAAGTGAAGTTGGGGCCACAGCTTTGGTATCCACCTTGAGGTCTAGACCCCTGGTGAAGGGGAATGACCTCCTGCCTGTCACTCCTGCTTCTGCCAGGTAGAAGGGTTGGTGTGGGCAGGCCCTGCAGCGTCCGTTTTAGGCTTTTATCGGTGCATGGCTCTGTTTATTCACTCTTCCTTTGCAGAGATGCCTGGAGTGGCTCCCATCTTACATCAGCTTAGAAGCCGAGCGCCGGCGATGCAGGTACGAGCCGAGGCGGTTCTTTCAACAGGACTGTTCCCTCTGGACCCGAACTCTTCCATAGGGTTGGACTAGCCTCAGGGGCAGAAGAACCGCTCAGGGCTGACAACCGTTGCAGGCCTCAGAATCAAGGGAGCCTTTGAGGGTTTAGGGCTGTATTTGCTCTCAGGACTGGATCTGAGGGAGCTTTTTGTCCTTTGGTGCAAAGGGGCTGAGCGCCACGGAGCTTGCAGATTAAGCTTTGGCAGCTGTTCGTTTTGTTTTTTTGTTTAAGGTCCAAGGAGACTTACCTCTCCGAGCAGCCGTTTTCCTCTGAACTTTGACACAGACTTCTGTGGGTGCTGAGGGCGCTTGGTTTTGGAAAAACGTATTTCAACAGAGCCCTAGTGCATGTGCTTTTTTCTGCTGCTACTGCAGGTCTGCCATGAAACGGGAAATCCAGGAATTTCTGCTTGAAGAAGATCATGAGCCGACAGCCTAAGAACCACCCGGCGTCTTGGCTTCGAACTCCCACTCAACGACTGGGAAGGAGATCACCGGGGCTGAAGACTCCCATCTCCTTGTAAATCCTTACCTTTTAATCTGTGCTAAGCTGTGGTTACAATTTTCTAATAAATTATTTTGGATCCAGTAGCAGCCAGTGCATAATTCCTGGCTCAGCTCCATGTGGCAGGAAAGGTTTTTTTTAGTAAATTAACCTGCAAAGGGCTTGACGGGTCCTTATTTGTTAAGCCGACAGTTGCCAGCATGACTTAGATTTCTGTAGAGACCCCCCCCCCGGTCTCGCATCCAATCCAGTATGATCCAAAGTGGTTTGTTATCACACCTTTTTTATTTTTAAAATATTTATGATAGAGATCTGTATAAATAAAACCACCTTTTGGGGGTGGGGGTGGGCAGGAAAGGTCTGCCATCTCCATCCACCCTCTTGTTCCCAGCAGTTAGGCCTGGCACTTGAAAACACACCCAGTCCTTTTCGAGCCGTAGAGATGGCAGGGGTGGCGATGGTGGAGGAGACCGGCTGCAGGGAGGGCTTGTGGCAGCCTCTGAACAAGAGGAGCAGGAGAGGAACTCTGCAGCCCTAGGTCAGCGGCTGCAAGCAGAGTATTGCTGTGCTAGAGGTGCTGGTCTGTTTTAGCAGCAGGGAATCCCCTTTTCAGTCCTATAAAAAATTTCACCACAAGGCTGGCCAGGCTCCTTCTCCTCCGTTTTATGCTACTGTGAAAGTTCAGAGGAAGGGGTAATGTGCAAGGGACAGAGGGGGGATCCCGTCCCACCAAATTGAGAGGCTTTCTTTTAAAAAAAGGGGAACGGCCCTGTTCTCCCTGCCTCCCGCACCACTCCAGGCAGTGTGGCAGCAGAGATGGCTCAGAGGTTGAGGGACTGCCCCAACCACCCACAGGGCTCTAAGCGGGTGGGGGTGGGGGAGAAAGAGGCAGCATTGGAGGGGGTGACAAGCTCGTGGGAGTGCTCCGTGTCCTCTTTAGGTCCATATCTGCAACACCCCCCTCCACACACCCCCCATTTCTGCCCCCTAGAGGGAGGAGAAGATGGGCTCTTAGCACGCCACCCTCCGGAGGCCACTGTTCTTTCCCGCTTCCACCTCACTCCTTCTCCCGGGTCCACTTGATCATGGTCTCCGGCGAGCGGTACAGGAAGATGAGCTTCGCGTACAGTTCCTCCTCCAACTCCAGCTCGCCCGTCTCGCGCACCAGGAAGATGTCGTGGCAGAGCTTCAGGATGCGGTCGACGCAGGGCAGCTCCTCAAACATGATGGAGTGCGAGATCTCGCTGAAGAAGCCCCTCACAAACTTGCCGATCACCAGCACGATGGAGACATAGAGGCCCATGATCCTGAGCGGGGAAGAGGAGCGGGCGGGTCAGCTGGCCTCGGACGCGGGTGGACGACAAGCAGAACCCTGGGCTTCCCTCTAGCCCGGCATGGGTCAGCCCCGGAGAGGCTGCAGAGGCCTGAATCCAGGCCCCGTGGGGTGCAAAGCAGGGGCTGGGCCAGTAAGCTGTGCTGTGCCCCCTCCTGTTTCATTCCATGACCGCTTGGCATAAAGCCAATTAAAATAAATCTTCAAAAGCATCTGCAGAAGCGGCCTTCTTTGCAAACGCTGAAGGGGGCTCCAGCCACACCATTCCTGAGTCCAGGGCCAACGTCAGCCCGCTCGGGGGAGCCGGAGTCTCCCAGCACTCAACCTGACTCTCTGATGGCGGGGAGGGGGTGCCAACAAGCGAGGGGGGGACAAACCAGGATGGGGAGCCCCTACTTACCCGTATCCTGCCAAGAATCCCAGGCTGGGAGGGCTGACTTTGTCACTGAAGATGACCATGGGTAGGATGTCACAGTCGTGCGCGCACTCAGCCAGGCGGATCACCCACCATTCCAGGAAGCTGGCGCTGCCACTCCCAGGCCCCACTCGCTGGCGCCTCAGCTGCACCTCTACATCCCAATAGCTGTCCTCCTCATCTGGGGAAGAGAAAGAGGAAGGTTTCCTACCAGGAGCCAGCGCTTCTAGCACTCACAGAGGGCTGTTTTTATTATTGGTTGCCTTTACACCCTCCTTTCTCCCCTTGGACTTGGGGAGGGGGGGCAGGGAGCTTAATGAGGCTTTTCTCCAGCAAAAGCAGATGGCCTGACAACTGGGTGCAGGTCAAAACAGTTCCGTGAATGGACAGTTAACCCCTTTGTTAATTAGCTTCACTTGGCTGGTAAGCAGGAAATCGGGAACCTCTTTGTCGACCTGGGAGAGCGGAACTGCCTGCTTCTCCCTCCTGGGAGGCATAGCCGTCACCCGTGCATGCTGGCATTTCAAAAACTGCCACCACACTACTGCAGGCGACACACCGGCAGGTTTTCAGAGCCAGTCCTCAGCTCGGTGAGAGGTGCCACGGAAGAGCCCTGGGGTGGTGGAGACCCTCCTCCTTTCCCCCAGACCACCTCACCTGGCAGGAGCTGCTCAACAGGGTTGGCTTCCCGGCCGTTGGGTGCACGGATGTAGGGAGGGAAGAGGTGGGGAATTCTCCTGGGGGGGGGGAAATAATAAAAGTGTGAGGAATGTCTTGGGAGGGATCAAGCATCCACAAGAACCCACACTCCCTTCAGGGTCCACGTGCTGTGTCTAGCTGTGGCTTCCACGTCTGGCTCTGTGCTGCATCTGATCGGGCAGGGCCCCCCAACTTTCCCTGTGTGAAATGTTTTGAACCACATCTCCCAGTGTGGATGACACTCAAGGATCCTAGAAAGTGGCGTTCCCAAACATGGGGGCCCCCGAAGAGGAGAATCGGTGGACCGAGGAGCTCTTTCCCTGGGATGCCCCTGAACTGACACCCCCCACCCCAGCCGTCTGGGGCTGCCACCAAGACCACTAAAGATGTCATAGCCTCTGGTCAATGCACAGCCGAGCCCCTGCACAAAAATGATCGATTTTGAAGCCGCTGTACACTGGGGACTAGCATCCTGTTTGTCTTACGCAGCTTAGCAGCGTTTGCTCTGACTGGCAGGAGCTGCCCAGAGACAGAGGAGGAGATGATCACCAAACCTCAGAAAGACACAGGAGGAGAGCGCATTCCTGGCCTTTGGGCTCCTGCAGAAGCCAGTCCTTTGCCCAGAAGCGACGGCTGGTGCCATCCTGTGCTTTTGTTCTCCATTGAGCCCTATCGGGTCCATGCAGTTCATGGCCTCCCACCACCTGGCTGACCCCCCCCCCTTTCATCTATCCCAGCCTGGCCCAGAGGGCAGTGCTGCTACTTGCACCGCTGGGGGACTGGAACTCACACAGAGGCATTGCGGGTTCCCTCCAGAAGGCCAGCCAAATTCCTTCGCACAGCGCTCTTCTGATCCAGATCCATTGTGTGCTTCTCAGAGGTGTATTCCTCTGTCCCCCCCTTGCCAAGGTCCCTGGAGGGAGGGAGGGAGGGGGAAAGGGGAGCAAACAAAGGCCAAGCAGGGCTGAATCTGAATCAACCGCGTGCATCCAACAGAGGCAGGAACAGAAGTGGCATTTGTGGAAAGGTGCCCAGAAGCAGGCGTTTGAGATCCCTTTGGCACCCGCCACGCCTGCCTCACCCATCCTGGGCCTTTGTGGAACGAAGGCCGTCAAGGCTCTAATAATTAACCAAGAGGAGCAACAGGCCTCTGAAAACAATGATTTTTGAGGAAGAAAGTTTATTTAGAAAAAGAGACTTTAAAACTTTCTTCCTTAAAAACAAGGCTCCTGTCTATCGTACATCGCTTGGGGAGCTGCAACGGGCAGGAAAACAAGACCTCATTGTTGCAAACCGATAGAAACTGGGTGTCGCTTGCCGGTCACCTAACAGCTCCAGCCAAGCCTGCCCTCCCTTCCCGTCACAAGCCATGGCACAGCAGTAGCGTGATTTGAACCCGCGCCCGGAACGTACCTCTGGAAGGTCCACGTGAAGCGCAGAGTGATGTCTGAGGAGCCGTTGCTCAGCTCCTCCCGCATCTGCTCCCGGCTGGGGGGGCTGATGCTCCAGAGCGAGCCCGAGTTGCCCTCCATGCGAGCTGTTACGATGTCCTCATAGCCGTAAAGAGTGATGAACTGCATGGCCAGCTGGGGGCGCAAGAGAGGACCAGGGGGGCGGGAGCGGCATTAATAGAGCGCGCTTGCCCAACCTAGCACGGCAAGCCAGCCACCGGGACGGACTCCTTTATAGAGCACCCCAATGGATCAGGGAGGAGAGGGCCAGCTGGCCTGCTGCCTGTGTGAATCCTTTCCTCCCTGCCCAGTTTTCCTGGGAAACTCACCGGCTGCCGTTCAAACTTCTCGGTCAAGGCATCGTAGTCCTTGGGGGTAAAAGCGACGATGGATTGCTGTTGGGCACTCATGGTGAACAGAGGCTGGAAAGCAAAGCAGTAAAAAGTAAACTGTATTTACAAGGATAATCCTTTTTGTGCCACATAGGCTCAAAAACCGGTGCAAACCTGGGACAGCGGCTCCTCAGATTCATGGACCTTGAAACAGCTTTAAAGCCTTGGATGGGTTAAGTGTCTCTTCCTTTCACAATCCGCCAGGTCAACTCTGCGCTTGCTTTTTGCGGACGCCAAAACCAGTGTCCTCCCATTATTTGGGAGGCCCACCTTGATCTGAAGCGCCAAAGGGCAGCTTCTCGAATTTCTGCCCAAATCCGGCCGTGCCTCTCCCCAGCCAGCCTGCCTGGACTCAAAGGTTTTGGACAAAAATGGCCAGCGCTTGAGTGGAATCCACTCTGCGCTCATTTCTCATCGGATGATGGGCGAGGCCCCAAATTTCTCCCACCCATGGGGAGAGGTTCCTAAAAAGAGGGAAGCTGAAATGAGTGACCCTTGCTGCCCCCCCCGGCCTGGCCGTCTCCCCCACCCCCACCATACCTCGTAGCCTCCCAGCTTGAGCGTGACGGTGACGTCGATGGGGTGGTTGACCACACCCACCACGGAGCGCACCAGCGACATGAAGAGCAGGGGGAACCAGATGATGCAGATGAGGAAGAGGATGATGAGCCCCCCCATGCCGTACTTGACAATCTTCTTCTTCTTCTGCCCCTTCGGCTGGGGGTATTTCTGGGAGGAAAGATTAAGGGCAACATCAGTACGGAGTGCGGAGAGGTGGACCTTATGACTGGCCCCACACGCTACGGTTCCACTACAAGTCCCATTATGCTGTCGCTGAAGTGGCTATGCCCCCCTTAAGGGTGGGCCCAAACCGCTGGTCCAGAGCTAAGCAGCCAACTGGACAGCAGCAGAGGGACCCCAAGGGATGAGCCGGCGTCCAGGGCCTGGGTTTCTCTGAGGGCATTTGGTTGGAGAGACCTTTGCCCAGCCGGCTGGGGACAATGGGAGTCTTATTCCTGCCCTGTCTGGAGAGTAGGGGACAGGGAAAGGCCGACCCTCCTGCCCTGGCTCCCCCACTCCTCTGCCATGCCGGCCCACCTTCTCCGTCTCGCGGCTGCATTTGATGATGAAAATGTTGGCGTAGATGTCTTCCACGCACATCCAGTTGGAGAGAGACAAGGTGGTGTCTGTCCAGACCCAGTCCATGACGGCGCGCAGCTCCACCAGGAAAGGCACCAAGCGGAAGCTGTGGCCGCCGGAGGGAGGGAAAGAGAGAGAGAAGAGTCGGCTGAAGATTGGATCCTGCCCACCAGTCCCTGGCCCGCAAGAAGACCCCTGTTGACCCCCTCCCCTAATGACGGTGGGAATTCTGACATCAGTGCTTCCAGAAGGAAGTATCTCCACCACCACCACCACCACCACCATACAGGAACATCCCCACCCTTTCCCAAATCCACACAAGGCCAAAGTCTGAAAAACGCAGAGATTCCGTGGGAACGTTGTAGGCGGGAGGAGACGCGACTTCAAGCCCTCCCATTGCCTCGGGGCGGAACGGAGAAGGCAAGCTCCAGCGAGTAACAACAGCGGGGGACGCGCGGGTGTTTTGATGCCACTCAAATGAGGAAAATTCACCTCCATTCAAATTAGCCTTCATTAAATTTAGACTCACCCACCAGGGCCCGGGAGCATCATCAACCTGCCATTCTACCGGGAGCAGTCAGGATGGCCTGATGTTACGTGGAAGGAGAGACCCCCCCCCCCGCACACCCATGTTCTCCACAAAGAAAACACTGCGACTGTGTGTGTGTGCGTTTGTGTGTCTTGCAGATTTATGCAAGCAGTTTCAAGTACAGGCCCACCTTATCTCAACACGCCCACCCATGGCGCATTTATGCGCATCCCGATGCTCCCTTCCTGACGGCCTTAGCCTGACAGTGTTTTTCCAAGAAACGCTTTTCAAAGGCGTTCAAAAGAAACTCCACCGCCGCCCCCCCCCGAAGGCCATTGCCCGAAAGGTGAACCCTGATGACAACTGCATTTGCC